TTTGGTAGAGGCACTCTTGTTCATCATAACTATGTACTTAGTTAGTTTATTTTTCCTTAAAATTTTAGGAAATGTAAAGCTTTTTAATATGCTTACTCTAAAGTGCTAAGCCAGTTATGTCGTCGTCATGACAATATTTGATTTTTTTCATTTTACAAATGGTAATTTTACAATTTTGGTAGAGGACTCATTGCTGATTACAATCATGCAAACAGTTTGATGCTTGATGTCCAGGAGTAAAGAAGAAGATTTTTAAAGATTGCATTAATTTTAGTGGTGTTGAGTTCAAATGTTAACGCACAACGCACGACGACCAACAACATACAAAATGATATGAAAAAATGTCTTGTTAGTTTACTATGAGAGAAAAAGAAAAGTTTTTTTTCACTGATTTTTTGTTCATATCTGTTCTTAGATTCCATGTTTTCAAAAGTTAATACGTTTGTATTTTGTTTGGAAAAAATATTTATCTCGTATATTTTTAGACTTTAATCCAAAGCAAATAATTTGAATTATATAAGAACTTTTTTTGAAAAAAAGTCTTTGATTGTTTAAAATTTGAAACTAATAACATTGTTCAGTAGTATGTTTGAAAAACAGATAAAAGATATTTTCATACGCCGAAATTCCGCCAAAATATAGTCCCTGCTTGTTTTCAAACAGTTTACAATTTCTGTTTTAAATTGTATACTAATGAAAAGGGAAGTAAATATGATCTTATAAATTCAATACATCCTAATAAATACAAGTAAGATTATAAACAAATATATATTTCATTTAGTCAGACCTCCTGGGGTTCTATACTGAATTAATGGTACACATGTATTAATATTTTGAAAAATTCCCCGTTTCTTGACATTTAGCAGATAAAACAGTTCAAAATTTTAACAAGGAAAACTTTTGCGTTGAATTTGTAGAAATTTTGAGTATCTTTAGTCTATATTAATGTGATATTGCTCAATATCCTTAATGAAATAAATATTGGGCATTTATGTTTTCTTCAAATACCGATTTATAATAAGGCCTAATCCTATACGAATACTCAAAAGCAACATACAATCTTAAATTTGGAGTAGGGATCTAGAATTAATGACACCATAGAGATAACGAATAAGAGACAATAAATTATAGACAGATATATTTAACTATTATCCAGAAGTACGATTATATTAAATATATCATAAGATTAAAAATATACCGTGTGATTTATAAACCAGCGGGTAGTTTATAGACCATTGTAAGATTATAGGGTCACGCAGAGCGCGGACTAAGGAAAATATGATTATTCCTGCTCGGCTAAAGAGCCTCTCCAAATTCGTTACTAGACTCGGGGTAACACATAAGGATATTTTATAGGATAAAAGCGTGGATCTACTACAGATTGCGCCCTCTTAGGACCCTGCCATGGGATCAGCCGAAGTAGATTTACCATCGACGACATAACTGGCTTAGCACTTTAGAGTGAGGATTATTTCTAATACACAAAACGATTAGAACCAAAAGTTACTAATCTCATTGAGTTTTCAATGCTAATGAAAGGTTTTTATTCCTTGTTTTCGTGGGAAAATGAAAACTTGAGATACGCCGAACTTAATCCTTCTCTCCTCTCACCGCAAACCTTGCGGTCATTGCGGAATCGGACATAATTTACTATTCTGTTGAATTTAAAAAAAAAACTTTTGATATATAAATAAGTTATAAAAAAGAATTTCTTGTCCTACTTTATCAAACTTGAGTTTTTAACTTATTTAAAATTTACTCCAAGAAAAGAACTTCTATGGGTACAACGGACTGTTTTTGAACCACTGCATTCTCACATGGATTGTTCTGGCGATAATCTTGTTTAAAAAGTCAACTCGCACAATAACCCTGCGATGGGAACAATCCAGTAAAAGATTACAAAATGCTAAATCTGTCTAAAATAAATTCAATAAGACAAAGCTATGGAACTGTACCATGTAGCATTGACATGTTAACCTTGAGATTTTAGTAGTACGTTACTGGTGTGTAAAAAAACAAGCATGGCTCGATCAAATCAAACACAAGTTCAGATCTACTTCTATGTTCAAGGTTGTCTTTTGTTCATCTTTGTTAATCTTATACAATTTATTCTTGTTCAGGTCTAAAGCTGCATTTGAACTAAACTTATACACAGTAAAGGATACATATCAATGAGGTGAAACGAATTAAAGTATGTTAAAATAAGATCCATATTCAGTTGTTGTTGTGAAAATATAATGGACTGTCCTTACAATTCATTGCTTAGAAAGGATAGAGAATTGAAAACATTTCATGCCTAGCGTAAAATCAAAGAAATTATTGTAGCCCAGCTTTTTTGGTATTTTCCTTTTAATTGTCGAAAAAATTGAATTGATAATTTAATTGTAAGTAAATTCCACGATCTAACAGGTGAGCCATACATTTTTTCTTTTACTTTTGGGGGGTTAAAATCATAGTATGGCGGGATTTTCCATGATTTTTAATGATACAAACAAACTTTTATCAAATTCTTGAGTCATTTTTATATAAGTAAAATGAACATTCCAGTTTAACCGCATAAATTTGTCATTTAAAGTTTCACAGAATGGAATCTGCATTGACAAAAATTTATATGGACCATAAATGTGTATTAAGTTGAAAAGTCGTAAGTGGTGTAAATTAGATGTGGATACTTAAAAAAAATTTTAAATCACAAGATTTTAAGTTTTGGAAAATTTTAAATCACAAGATATCATTGATAGCTGCTTTTTCAATAAAAATGGAGCTAAAAAAATTTACTTGTCATTGGTCATTTGAAAAATTATTTTGTTGAAAACATCCTGATTGTATACACCATATACTCTGAAGTTGACATCCGAAAGATGCTTGGGTTTCTGATTGACAATATCTTTTTTTTTTCGAGACCCAAGGTCACAATTAATTGGAATTCCCATGGACGGTTACCAATTGTGCCCTGTTATAAGCAAACCTTTTTTTGTATTCATATGAAGCAGAATTTGTTCAAAATCTTACATTTTCAAATTTATTCTTGTTCTTGCGCCTCGGTTGACAATGGTTTTCTTGAGGTGAAAATTTTCAAAGTTACACTCAACTACATGCAATATTTATATATTGTAATTTGTTTTAGACCAATTATATTCTTTTTTTCTACTAGGCTCCCGATCCCACTCTTGGAATTTCCATGAATCCTTATTTACATATTTGTATTGTTTACAGATTTTCAAGATTCTTCATTTCCTTCACTTTTTTTTTATTTCAAATCTAAAATGTTTATGGTTGGTATGTTTTTATCATTATTTAAAACTTATGATATTATGCTAAAGTTTATCAGAAAGAGATGTAATATTCTAATATGTGTAGAGGGTGGGGGAATTCAATTGGGGTCTTATGTTTTTACTATGCCTGTAATCTAAAAAAACTATATACTGTACGATATCTGGTGCATGATTGTAATTATCTTGTCTGATTTAACCAAAAACTATCTAACTTTATGGATTCTTTCTGATGCAAAATAAAAAAAGTCTTTTCCTTTAATGATTACTTTCTAAAAGTAAAATAATGATCTCTCTCTCTAATAACGTTAATAGTTACTTTGTACTAGGACTGAGAAGTCTACTAACCTATATTATGTACTATAAAATTGATTGTTTAACACAAAGAGGGCAGAACGTTAAATGTGTTATATATTTAGGGGATTTCCTTTTTAAATACCCGGATAATTTTTCTAAAAAGGGACGGTTGAATAAATTTTTATATGTCACATTCATTTAAGATATTTACAATGATAAATTCAAAATTGAAATTTAATAGAGCAATTATTGCATGAATAACTTTTTTATGTTTATGAAATACCAACTTGCGAAAAGAAAACTCAGAAGAACTTAATACATATAAAAAATATGGAAATTCAAGAATTTCAAACAGTGCGAAATGAGTATGAGTTAATAAATTTGTCCAATATAGTTTATATGTAAGATTTGCTTTATGCCAATAACTTCATATGGAATATATTTTTTCTTATAAGTCAGTACTTTTTCTCTTTAATCGTCATTATAACTGTAGACTATTTTTTCAAAATCTGACTCTTTTATTATTTTCGACTAAATCTAATTAACTCCAATTTTAAATGGTCAAGTGTATTAAATTTACTCCTGTTTTACAACGGTCAACTGTGTCTAAATTTCATCATTTCATCTGAATTCTATCTTAAAATGGTTATTTTTATCTAGTTGAATTCTTTCTTAAATTGATCAACGGTGTCTATAATGTAATTCTATCTTAAAATAGTCAAAGAGTATTTTCAAGAGTCATCTAAAACATGGAACTGTATTGCTTTTAATTAACCTTTTTCTACATAATACTAGTTATGCAGAACCATGCATTTGTAAAGATTTATTTATCTGGCATGTCACTGTAAACGTAAAAAATTGTCTTTACAACGTCAGGAAAAGTAATTAATACATTTAAATGTTTATTAAAATATGTAATAATCAGTATTATTAACAAAAAATAAAATGAAACTAAAGAACCGCGTCAATCTCATAAAATCTGCAAACAATACAATTCTATAGGACCCCTGGGAATTCCAAAGGTTGGATCAGGTGCCTTGGAGGAGTAAGCATCCTCGCATCAGTTGTTAATTGAAATGAAAGTTCATTTAATTACACCCCTCTTTTGCATTGTTTAAGTGAATTAAAAACTAAAATTTTGAACAATCTTCTCAAATATGATTGATGATAAATTTCTTCCAACAAACATCCCTAGTAAATTTATTTTACTTTTTAAGGAGAATTCACAAAATGATTTCTTTCCATCAACTAAATATTTGGTTGAATTTTATTTATTTTCCTATTTAATTAGTATTCATTATGACAAGTTTTTTCAAATATTTTGCATCCATCGTCACGAGTCAGGATAACCATTAAGGGGCACACAAGTGTGCTTTTAAACTTATTGGGCATAAAATCACCCAGGTATGTAGAATGGGATTTCCCTTTTACAGACAACATATCAAGTATATATACAAAAATATTTGGGTTAAGGAAAGATATTCATGCGTTCATGTTCTGCTTTTAAAAAGAAACAGATGTACACCATAATTTATCTATTAACATTTAATGTAGGTAAGTCTTACTTACTTTTTTGAATGTAATTATTAAACAAAAAATCCGTAAAATATCGTACATGTACTTTTAATTTATTTTACGTTGCATTGGGTTCAATGCTCGTAAATATATATATATTTCTTAGATGAGTTTAAAATCCCAGTGCATCATTAGAAAATCAAACTTTGAAATAAATAATTCTCGTACAATTTTTATTTTCCGTAAACAGTTTCTTTGTCAGCTGTTTTCCTCTAAATAATTGCGCTCATTTTGATTTTCAAATGATTCAACTAAAGACATAACATAAAAAATAAAAAATGGACAACTTTTTAAAAATATACATTGCGTAATATGTGTGTCCTTGAAAATCAAAGGTGAACAATCAACTTTTGCCAATAACATGTAACACTCCGACTTAAATTGCTACTATAAACACATCTAAATGTTTGATACACAACAAATAAACAAGTCATAAAAATCACCCTCTCTAGATAAAACAAATAGCATGTGTTCTTGGAGAAAAAAAACTATATAGATATGCTGATAGAACAAAATAATTCTTAAATATTGTTCTATGTGTGATAAAAAGCCATTTAAAGTCGATCGGAATTTTCAGCTTTAATTCAAAATTGCAAAAGTAGTTACTCTCTTAAGGATATCCAATCCTCATCCAGGAAGAATAAATCTTAAAATCATTATTCAATTTAAAAGTTTGATTATCAATCTAATTAAAATTAGACTTGTATTTTCGCTCCTCTACTATACGCTAATTTTAAATATATTATCTCATTATGAAGTTGAAATTGAAAACATTTCATGCAATTTTTTTTTATCGATATTCATTTTATGCATTTCAATATGATCCAAAGTTCTTTGAAGTCTTTTAAATTAGGGTCTTGCAAAAAGTTGGCGTTTGTACCCTAAGAAATTAGAAAAAATAAATACAATTTTTATAGGAATAAGATGTTACCCCTACATACCAGACTGGTGCTTTTGAGCATAAACTTAGAAGTGATCTGTGCTATTTTGCAATGATAGCACAATCCCTTTACACAATGTATCATATATATAATGAATAAAGGGAATAGAATACCTAGAATACCGAGTAAATGTTAAAACATGCAAACTTCACTGTATATCTGGATATGTATACTAAGTAGTTTTTTTTTCAAAACTCAAGTTTCAATACGAAATGCATAACACCGGTAGTTGATGTTTCTATACGCCTTTCCTGAATATATATTGAAGATCTAATGACAATAATATACCCTATATAATAAGATAAGCTATAACGATAAACTTTTGAATATAATTACTGCGGATGAATATTAATTAGCTGGCGAATTCTCAGATATTATTGTCATGATTTCAATTACTTAACTGCTGATTTTATAAACATGAGGATTGGAATTCCCGAAGTAATTCTTATTTAAATTAATATTCACGCAAACTCTAGAATTTAGCGTTCATATTGCATATGTGTTTATACACTTAAAAAATCATGCAAGAATGTATATCATCTCTGAAAAATGCACCTCAATAAAGAAAGAAGATGACCTATACGTAATTTCAACCATTTCAATACATGCTGATATTAGTAAATACATTTTTGCTTTGCTAATTTTTAAATATAAATTCATTACTATAGCTTTGTTGTTGAGTGGCCAGATACTAAAAACTACCAATCTTTTAAATACTATTTTGTTATATACAGGTTTTATGATTTACTGATCGTACAATGAACACGACAAACTTCTTCCTCGTTTTGATTTTTGTGAGCCTTGGAGCAGTGGAGCAAATGAAATGTCAAAAAATAAACGGAGTTACACTTGCCACTGAACTTAACAGAGTGGCTGATGCAGTGGGGAGAACATTTATACAGGTAGGTATATAGGTTTACATTTATACAGTTAGGTTTATATAGGTTTCAAACAAAATATCAAATGACTGTTTTACTTTAGTACAGACAATGATGGAAAATTTGAGTACTTATTTACCATATATGTATAAATATTTGAAATTCCGAATTTGCATAAAAAGATAAGAATTGATATTTTCGTCTGAGAATAAAAATAAAAGACCATTAGTCTAATATTCTAGTAATAAAAATATTTTTAAAATATAGTTACTTAAAATAATTCTAGTTTTTTCTTTGTTATCATTCTGAAGATAATCTCCAAATATATGATAGGCAAAAGTAATGAACATTGATTGATCCATAAATCAAGTAAACCATATAAAATTTGAACAAGGAAACAAGTCCATTAGAAACATCAGAAGGCGGTTCAGATACATAAGAGGGGCAAACATCCCTGGCTGGTCATATCAACCTTAAGCACTCTGTATTCGTTAGATTAACGAGTTATCCGTAGTAAAAAGTAGTATTAAAATAATGGCCTCAAAGTTACCGCGGTATTCATTCAAAATATGACCCAACAATGATTTTTATTTGCAAACAGCCTCGTATACTAATATCAACGATAGAACTTGCAAAATGCTTAATACGATGTTAAAGTCCTGTATTATCAAGTTATGTGCCAAAAGTTTTTGAAAATTAAATCAGTTGAAGGACATAAAACACAATGTACAGGTGATGTTTCTGCAGACATAGGAAAGGTCATCGCGTTTATCACACTCTTTGTTTCATTTATTTCGAGTTAACCGATGCATATTGAATTGAGATGAGAATGAAAATGAAAATTGTTTGACACAGAGATAACAAGAAATACTGAGTTTTTTTCCAAGAAATTCCTGAATTCAATTTTTGAAAGAAAAATATGAAAAAGTCTATTCATTAATGAACCACAAAGATTGATTGTTCCAGTTGTATAAAGTAAAGTAAAAAATAAAGTAAAAAAAATAACAAATATAACCATTATTGGGTCATATTCTGGCTGATATGTGTTTACAACAATTAGTAGTCCTTTGTTTTCCAGCAACTCAAGTTGACTACGGAATGTTTTTTAACCTGTTCAATATAAAGGGCTCACGGTGGGTCTGACCGAGCATTAGGGATTATTTATTTTTCTAAGGCAGCTGATCCCACCCCTGGAATTTCCGAAGAAATACTTTAAATACCCTTCACATAGTACACTTGCCTGTAGATAATTGATATCGATCAGTTTTCATTATCTTCACCCTTTTCATACTTTTCATCCAAATATGTAAAGGGAATACGAGGATTGTTCAATAAATAATGTTCTCGGTGCTCATAAAGAAACAAACGACGCTTTTCAATGATTTAGTCTTCATGATTTTACTTATTAATCTCTTTTAAAGCAAACACATGTCCGTAATTTTTTATCGCAATTGAAATTTTAGAAATATATAAAGTACTGGAAAATACACTTACCAGTGATGGACTTGTTTTCCCTTCAAAGGTGTTTTTTTCAAGTTTGGATAGCCAGTGGTCAAAATCTGGCAAATATTGTTAATGTGAAAAAAAATACCTTTAGTTTACAATGATTTTTACTCTTCAGACATTTTGGACGCTGTAAGAATTCAAACAAAATGTCAAATGACCTTCGATTTTTTTTATTGCTTTCTGAGTTTCCAGAAAGATTTTTGGGTATAATAAAATTTGGAAAATATATAAATGTCTTTGTATTTACCTTATGAAAAATTTTTATCAAGTACATTATCGCAAATTTTGTCATTGATGGTTTTTAGCAATAGATTCAAAGATTCCAATATCTGTTTGAATAAAAAATAAGAATTTATATCTACAACTCTGATATTTTAAAATAAAAGTACGTACACGCTGTCGTTTAATCATTTTTTCTAGTGATAAACCAATATTTGAAAAATAAAAAAGTGTAAAATAATTCTATGATGTTATTTTACTATCTGTTAAAGTCAATTAAAAATAATCTCCCAATATTTGTTGAAATTTGCAAACAAATAAGTTGATAATTTTTGATCCAACAATTCAAGTTCAATAAATAATTTGAATCATTGAAAATCAGTCCATTAGAAACATCAGATATTTCAGATAATACTTAAGGCAAAATTTTTACAGCAGCTATTCATATCTTTCTTTTCACTCTAGTACCTACTGATTCTTTACCATTCATTTATTAAACAATTCAATAGCCTTTTTTATTCAAACAATGAAACTATTATGGTCACATAATTTTGTTTTGCATACATTTCTCTACAATATAGATATCAACGTTTATAATATTGCCTAATATGTGTGCAAAACAGCCTGTATAACAATCAAATGACTTGCATATTTTTGAAAATATATATAAATGCTTTCGTAAGGTCCGGTAATAATTTTTTTGAAAAAATTTTTGAATTTATATCTTAAAAAATTCAGTTTCAATGCATTTAAGGTACAATAAACACAAATCATAGAGAACTTCCATATGATGTTTTTCTCATGCATATTTTTAAAGAACATATCTTCACACTTGGGTCAAATATTTTTGTATTTCAAGAATGATTTCAAGCTATTAAGTTAACATGAAAATAAAAATTGTATATATAAGCATTTTGTGTAATAAAGATAAAAAAAATTCTTTTTCATCATAGTGTTAAATTATTGATTTTTGTCCAGTGTTTTCATAACGTTGATCGCTTAGACAGTGTAAAAGTAACAATGTGAATTGCTGTACCAGATAACTGTGTTTGAGGGGAAATATAAATTCTTTCTGATTTATGTGTTCATACATTAATAGGTTTACTGTTTTAAAGCAACTTTAGTGTTACAAGAATTTTAACTCAGTTTACTGTTCAATATAAAGGGTTTAAATAATGCAACGATTATTCAGTGAACATGGAGATTATAATAGCATTAGTTTTATGCTTCGCGCATCTTGGAAATGCCAGCATAGCAATGAAAACCACCTAACTGTTTATTTAAAGATTCAATAATGAGAGAAAGTCAAGTTTAATGTCATATGATTATGATATCTGTATTGTATGTCATACAGTTCAGAACATTATTTATGGAACAGCCCTCGTACATATAGAAACAAGTCCTACTTGCGGGTAAATTGATTATGTTGTCATGTCATGTTATTTTTCGCTCAGTCTTTTTTTCCAAGCTATAAGAAGGTTATGTGTTTCGCTTTACTTTTTAGAATATATATGACAAGCTAAAATATTCACATACGGCAAGAGATGGAGGGGTTCATTCAAGAGACGTAAGTATAACCTTCAGACAATTAAGCTTATGAAAATATCGATATTTATTTTTTCACAATATTTTTATGGAACTTTTTGAGAGGCAATTTTGTAATAATATGAAAGATAATTGAGAGATGTCATGGAATTCTAATGTTTATGTTTTTCCTTGCCCATAAAGATTGCGCGGAAAATTAGTCAACGAATGGAGAATATGAAAACTTCATTGACCAATCTTAAACAAACAATGGAGAATTCCTTTGACGAGATGACTCCCAGCAGCGTATACCAGGACTGCTGCATGGACGGAAATTACGAAAACAATCTACATTTTAGAACCGAGGTAAATGTCCTTTATGTGACAAGAAAGATAACTCATAAAATCCAAAAATCGATACATTTTTATTGTAACATTTTATCATCAATAATGTTGGAAAACTTGCATAAATTATAGTTCAACTTTTCTATGACAATCATTTTAAAAAAATTCAGCTTGTCATAAATTTATATTTTGGGATATACACAGATATTTACATTCAGTCATATTTAAAAAAATTCAGTCTTAACACACGCGAAACCTTGTCAAAAAAACTTATATTTTCAATACTCTTCGGTAAAATGTTTTATTTCAATTTAATGAAAAACTTTAACCCTGAAAAATTAACGTAAAAATAAACGTAATGTGCGTTAAGAATTAATTTCTCACTTTTTCCCTCGCAATGTTTGTTTGAGTATTTAACTTTGGTATATCATATGCATATATAAAAATTCACGTTTGAGATTAAAAATAAGCAATTATGAAGAATTGTTAGAGAATGTAAATTTAAAATTTACAACACACCTGGCAATGTTACCGCGCGTTATATTCCGGCACAGTGGTTATAGGACCGAAGCATTATGAATTCTCTTCATGAATAATAAAAAAAATATCCCACAGTGGAGACTAAATGTTCTCTTATTTCAAACTTTAATCTCTTTTCCATTTCAATGTTTCTTCTTTAGGTATCATTAGACGAATTTTGTTACAGTAAACCACATTATGTTAAAGAAGAAAACGTAAGATATCCAACGTCAAATTTACTGGCTACCATGAAAACGAACCACGTTAACAACAGAAATCTCCAATTTCAATACATTGCTCTGAATTCTGGACTCTTCATTAATTATCCAGCAACAAAATTAACTGGTTGTGATACTTATGACCCCAGGTTCAGGTAATTAATACTTCATTCAAACTTAAACATAATATTTTAGATAGAATTCATTGTTGGTAATCCTAGGTTATTATGATATCATAATATTAGTTCATTGAGTTGAAGGCCACAGCAAGTGTTTTATTTTTTTAACATAAAAGATTTTAAATAAATTCTGCTTCATATGAATACGAAAAAAAGTGTCTGCTTATACACGTAACGAGGCACAATTGGTACCCATGGGAATTCAAATAGATTGTTGGAGGACCTGGTCTCAAAAAACACGTATATACTGCCAATCAGAAACTTGACTCTTTTTAATATCAACATCAATGCAAATATTCTACTTTCTTTTCTCCTCAGTAAGAGTACTGTGCAACAACATATTTGAGAAGTGGTGTAAATCAGATGTGTGTATTTTAAAATTCCACGGAACTCTTGGAAAATTTCAAGTAACAAAATTTTACCAAAATCAACAGTATTCAAAACTTTTTAATTCTATAGACAACCATTTGGCATGATAAGTTAAAGTCAAGGCCGGCTTTTTGATATCTTTGACAGCTGCTTTTTCAATGAAAATTGAACTCATTAACTTACTTACCTTGTCGTTAGTCATTTTTTAAATTATTTTGTTTAAAAACGTTCTTATTGTTATTATTACAGTTTTAAAACGAGGTAAATTATTGACAAACAAGTTGCTGAAACAAGATTATCAGCAGTCTCGTTTGAATTCATCATTTTTTTAGTCAATCGTTGATACAATTACCTTGTCAGCGAATACAAATTATTATTAAGTCAAATACTGACTGAAGTTTTTCATATTCATTGTTAGTCCATTATTTATACACTGAATTGTGCGATTTTCCCTTTTCCCCCAATCATTACAAGGATATCACGGCGGGTTTACCGGGAAATCTCTTATCCATGTCACCTGATCCCACCTGATGATGTTTTGGAGTCTCCATTTGGTTCTGCTTCTACTTTGTATTGCATACTGGACTTTGGAGCTTGAATGTTGCTTTAATTCTCCATATACAGTTTTTCATTCAGGGTACTTGTGTGTACAATCACAATTTTTAACAACGTAATTTTGCAAATGGTCAACGAAGATGTAATTAAATTTACGAGTTTTTTTTTATTATTATTAAAAAAAAAACCAAACAGCTGTCAATGAAGTCGGAGAGCCTTTACTTTAGTTTTTCGTGGGGAATGGTTGTCTATAAAGTTGAAAAGCCGTTAATTTGTATATTGTTAATTGTGGTAAAGTTTTATGATTTCATGTGTTCCAAAAGTTCCTTGGAATTTTTAGTATCCACATCTGATTTACACACCACTTCTCGAATATATTGTTGAATATTGCTCTTGAAGTTTCCCCTTCAGTACTGTTAATTTCTTAGTGAGGAGTATAAAAAGAGGCTTGGTAGACTAGTTACGTATCTTTGTAAGGATTTTTATTAAGTCTTGGTATAGATATAGTAATGCAAATTCATTTTGATAAATTGGAATATTACAAATATTCAAAACTGACATATGATAATGAAACATTTCTTCCATTGAAAGAGAGCAATGAATATAAGTTGGAGAAAAAGTACTTGTAGAATTAAAATCCAAGTTCCTCTTAAATTCATTTTGTATAATGAGGCTTACAAACGAAGACAATGTTGTTATTTGGTTTGTCAGCCGAGACCAGTAGCATTGATCTTGTAATCTAATTCTTAACATTTTCATAGCAAGAAGTACTTTTTGCGAAAAAAGTTTGTTTGAGTGTTAAAATAACTATTATGCGTATGTATGACATTATCCTGAATGTCAACATACTTTTCTCAAATGTTGACATAATTTATCTTCCATATAGGTAAGAAATATGACACCATAGTATGATATATATGAAATTCTGTCGTGTTAGAATAAGAAGAAATCCTAAAAACACTTTTACAAATTTGCCGGATTAAATTTTTAAATGTGTTGTGATAATTGTTTTACAAAAGAAGGTCTAGTAAATGTTCTATCAGCAAGGCATTATGATGGAATTCTTTTTAATAATTTCTCTCACATGTTTGCTTTCTATAGTTCTCCTATATAAATTCACGTTTATATCCTATCGTTTTCTTTGTAGACCTTTCTTTGTGGCCAGTACAACTACAACTCCGAGGGACATAGTGATGGTTATAGATATATCAGCCTCCATGAGAGGGTTTAAGTTGATTGAAACCAGGCATGCTTTTAACACCGTCATAAAAACACTTAGTGGCAAGGACAAGGTATATATTAAAATAATTAATGCTATATTTCTGCAGAGCAACATTCAACCGCTAGATTTTTTAGGATTGATTGGAATATAAAAATAGTAGAATGATATTTCTATTCTGTGGTCGATACAATGACCTTATCAGTTAAATGAAATTCACCATTGCCATATACTGACTGTTTTTCATACAAATTGTTAGGTCATTATTTACGCATTGAATTGTGGACAGTTTTTTGTTATTTTGATCACTCCTCCATGGGAAACCGGTCCCCACCCTACATCTTCCCACCTGTTTTGGAGGTCGTGTTTGCTATGCTCCTGGTTTGCTTTGTATAAGGGACTTTGAATACAGTTTGTTATTTCCATATATTACAATTAAAATCCTAGAAAAATTCATCACTGGAATAACCAAACCAATATTTTTTACAATCAACATTTCGGTCTGATTCACGAGTATTATTTTACAGATAAACAACTAAAAATATTCGGTAAAAGTATATCATTCTACAAGCAAACATTGTTGATGTTTAAAATCCACAATAGATTGCCATTGTCGTATATAACGACGAGGCGGAAAGTCCCGGTGGTTGTTACAGTGATATGTTAGTTCCAGTCACAAACAAGACTCAAGAACACCTGAAAGGTTTCCTGAGCTCAAAAGGGGCGAGTGGCGGATCTGACTATGCTAAAGGCCTCCGTAAAGCATTCAGCTACCTTAAGACGAACTCAAGCAAAGGGTCATTGCAAAGAGGTAAGATCCATATCTCCATGCAAATAACTCGATGTTGCTAAACTCTTGGGAACTTAAAACAATTATGATAGCGCTTATAGACTCATGAGCAAGGAAGCTACCAATAAACATGTCATATTTTGCTCAATAAATTTTAAAAGTTTTAATTCTAAATGTATCTCGTATGTACTACATTTGTAAAGAAAGAAATCAAATCACGCTGTATTAGTATACACCAGTTGATTATTAAGTACTGTAATATGTATAAGTTGCACTACTTACGGAAAAAAATTATTGAAATATGCAAAATACATTTTTGTACAGTTATGATCTATATGAAATGGATATCTTGTAGAGCAGATTATTTTGTTTTTGACTGACGGGGAAAACACAGGAGGCAATCCATTAGAAGTCATCAGAGACGAGAATCAACAGCTAGGAAATAGAGTTATCATTAATACCTACGGTATAGGAGCAAGTAAGTAAGTGTGCTAACAGAAACAAGCATCACACGAAGGGAATCAAAGAATTGTCAACAAAACAGGTTAGGGGCAGATACCACAATGATGATAAATGCTACAACTTACTGGATTGTTCACACATATGCATGTATTAAAGGGTTAAGAAGGAATCGGCAATTACTGCAGTGTTGTTACAATCCATTTTAAAGAGTATATTCAAATCTTTTTGCCATGGACCATTTAAAAAAATAAAAGTCATAATCAAATCACTGTATTTTACAAAGATTCATTGCTTTGTTGCGATAGTTAAAGTTTTAAAAAATTATAATATACTGAGTTATCTTTGGATTTCCATAGGTCTGAGCAGCCAAGACAAAGAGCTGCTGAAAAATATGTCTGAACAAACGTTGAACAGCAATTCATATGGTTATGTTATAGTAAGTTAAGAACCTTTTTAATGGAAAAAATAGTCTTTTATTACATGTATGTATTTATGCAGCAAAGCAAATTCAATGATACCATGTTAATTATTTACTAAAATATATAATTTGCCCGGAACTCGACATTCATTATATATCAACGACGTATTAACAATTTTTTAAATGAATTTCAAATTCTTATATACATCAGTCACATTATCCAGCGATGGGAATTACGATGAGAAACCGACACGTTTTTTTTTGATAAAAATGGCGTGGTTGCCGGCCGGATCCCTATAGTAATCGGACGGTGACTGAGGCCATTTGGCTAATCGGGTGGAGGTCATTGGTAGAAAATTAGTTGTAGTTAAAAATCAGCGATGTCTCCACCGATGCCCCATATCGCTTCTCATTGGGAACCCATATTAACACATCTTTCAAGGATTGATTCGATGTATGGCCGAGCATCGTCAAGTATCCGTTGAATCAAGGTCATAAAAGAGGTAAATTACATCGACCAATCATTGGTTATATGACCGACCTACAACGATTTCACCAATGTATGAGCGATATAATTATGCATCGGTCGATTACCTAAGTTTTATGATAAGCAATGCAATGGGCCTTTGTAAGGCAAATACAACCATTTTTTGATCAAAAAACGCATTGGTTGCCCATCTCACACCCCATCGCAGGATAATGTGATCGATACTTTAAGGACTACTAGGCCGATGTGGGACCGATATTTGGGCATCGCTCACACCAAGGATTACCACCGGTCTACGGCCACCGGCCGGGAAATGTGACTAAGGCATTACTGATAATCGATCATTCAGATATTGCATTTCCATGGCCTTCACAACTTTTCCATGAAACACATTTCTAAAACTCTCTGCATTCATTTCAAAGCTTGTTTCGTACAAAGTGACTAATTTGGAAAGACATTATCTCCATGTAGTTTAAAGAAGAAACTGCAGTATTCTATTATGGATTATAAGTCAGACTTTATTAGATACTTTTTAAAATATTTTGGCATATTTCTCAAGGATTTATAATTATACTCATTATACTTATTATACTTATTTTTAGCTCTTTTGGTCAAAAACCAGAAGAGCTTATGCTAACTGAATGGTGTCATCGTACATTTATCCGTCTATCTTCTCTGTCTGTCAGTAAACATTTTTTTCAAAATGCTACTCCTCCTACAATTTGAATCTGATACAATTTCTATACAATTGGCACATAAGTAGACTTCACTACAATACATAATTTAGTGCGTCGGTTTTTGATTTCGAAGAACGGTGTTGCCGTGGTTACAAAAATCAAAATTTCTGTGCTATTCCTTTAAAACACTACTCCTCCTACAGATTTTGTATGATTTCAATATACCTTGGCACACAAGTAGACTACTAAGATACTTAATTCTGTGTATCGGATCTTGATTTCGATGAACGGTGTTGCTATAATTACTAAAAATAGAAATTTCAATGATATTCCTTTAATTATTTACAGTTCTTATCTGATTTCAATATATGTTGGCACACAAGATACAAGATGCAAATCATCATTTTTGACTTCAACGGTGTGTGCCATGGAACAAAAAATAGGAATTTTACGCCTTGACTGCAAATTCCTTATAAAAAACCTACTACTTTATGTTTATCTTTTCAAATATACACTTACATGGTAACAACAAAATAACAAAAATGTGAGCATGATTTTTGATTTTCGCTTATGACGTTGTTGCCATGGTTTCAATGAAGATTGTGATCATTCCTTTAAAACGCATGTTTTAATCTTTTGGCACCCTGTCCGTGTTATGGTGTTTTGAATGCAATAGATTTTCATTTACTTTATGTACAAAAACAAATGTAATATAAATATTTTATGATAATGTATTGATCACTTGCTGCAAGAAAAGCAGTGTTCAAGTATTTATTACAAGGTCATGACAATTAATTCACTACATTGAATGAATCTTAATTCAAACATTCGTTACATTTCTTACGGGCAATCATTCAGAAATTGTATTCCAAAGCCTAGTCAACTTCTCTAGGTTCGACATTTAGCTTCCTCGAATAGAACTTGCTAAATTCAAAACCTTTGATGGTTGTACATGCACGCTTCTATATCTAAAGCCTTGATGTCCTAAAATTGTTCCATGAAACACATTTCAACTTCGAAACACACCATGTAGTATCAAGAATACATGTATATATATATTTATTCGTGGATTTTAAATGTCTTTAAATCTTTAAGATAATTTTGCGTATTTTTCTATGCTTTACAATTACCGGTATTTCATTCAATAAAAAATGCACGAAAATAGTTTAAAGATATTTAAAAGACAGTTAAAAAATCTCTTTTTTCTAATTGATTAACATTTTCCGACAAAAACAGGTTTTTTTTTCAATTCGTTTGTTATTGTCCTTTAGATTAAAAGACAAAATGTTTTGTAATTTTAATAAACGGAACAAAATTTTACAAAATATTTGTTCATTTGCAGTCGGGAAAATCTGTCATAACAGCGGATATCCAGGCGACTTCACTGTCTGAGGTGCTGGGTACTTATTACGACTATTCAAGTGTACCCATATCCCAAGCTCCTACGTATACAAGGCCATACAAAGACTTGTTCAGCAAAGGTGGGACGTTCTGGGTCTTTTTTGTTTGTTGTTTGTTTAAAAACAATAACAGTGAACATACACTTCATTATTTAAAAATATTTTTGTGTTAAATTTCCTGAAATAAATTTCATTTTATCTGACGTGTAGAATTTGTGATGACGGGATGCCTGCCCATAGGGCATCGTGGAGCCTTTGTTGGGGTGGTGTGTGCCGATGTCTTGTTAAGTGAGCTGGTATCGGAAATCTTGTACCTGCAAGAAGGAGAATATTCTTACGCTTTTATAATCGATGGTGAAGAACGAACAATGATTCATCCGCTCCTTCCAGATCCGCGTGACGTCACCGCAGAGGATTATGACGTAAACGACATTTATAACTTTGAGACAGCAGGAGATGTTCATGAAGTTATAAATTCCATGAAAAAGAAAGTATAAAGTTGATAAATGTGCACATATATTATGAATTTTTAGATATATATATTTTTTATCCAGATTGTTCAGATTTTTGCCGTGACCATTGGCATAGTCAGAACCGACACTTGTATTGCTTTATACCCCCGAGTCTTTGGCAAGAGCATATAAAATACATAGGAGTGAAAAGACTTGCGATCTAATCACAAATTAGAATAGAATTTGTTTATAACATGGGATCAAGTACCTGGGAGGAGTAAGTATCCTCATTTTCTTCGCAGAAGAAAGTCAAAACTTTTGCGCAACGTTGGAGAAATTGTTCAAGACGACCTCGTTCTCTTTATTTTAAGCTTAGTGAGTTGGCATATAAATAAAAACATATATTTGCGTTTATAACATGATATTTCCCAAACTTTCGATTAATTTTAAATAATCATCTAAATAAAACAGCTTAAGAGGTAGCTTCCTTTTTCAACTGGATACGTCAATAAATGTGAAAAAAAGTTGAAAATAACGAACAATGATCGATCGCAAACAAACTATAAAAACATACAAAACTTAAAAGGGGGCAACCCCCCCCAAAAAAAAAAACAGGGCCCCCTTGAATGAAGATTTTTGATCAGGTGTCTAAGGATGTGCAAGTACCCCCTGTTTACCGGTCACACCCACCTTGTGTCCTATGTTTTGATCAAGAGATGGAACATTCCGTTGTCTAAAAAACGCAAATAGTTGTTTTGTTGTCTTCCGAAAATATATTTTACTTAATTCTAAACACATGAAGTTTAACGTACAATAAAATAACGTACGCTTTTAGGCACTTCTCCGAAATTGTAATCGTAATGTTATTAAAAAATGTTTGAAAATTTAAAGGAACTTTTGGACAGATTGAAATCACAAAACTCTACCAAAATCAACAGCTTAAAAACGTACAACTTTTCAACTTTATACACAACCATTCCCCACAATATATTAAAGTCCAGGCATTTTGATATCACCTGCTCTTTCAATAAAAATGAAACTCGTAAATTTACTTACCATTGTCATTAGTCATTGGCAGAATTATTCTGTTAAAAAATTCTTATTGTACACACAAGTACTCTGAAGTTGACATCAGAAAGATGCTTGAGTTTCTGATTGACAATATCTATGTGGTTTTTGGAGACCAGGTCTTCCAACAATCTGTTGGAATTCCCAAGGGTGGAAATTGTTCACCGTTATTAGCAGACCAATTTTTGTATTCATATGAAGCAGAATTTGTGCAAAATCTTAACATAAAATAAAAAACACTTGCTGTGGCCTTCAGTTCGACATTTAGATATATCGACGGCGTGTTGTCAATTAACAATGGTGATTTCCATTCTTTTGTCGACATGATATATCCCGGTGAGCTTGAAGTAAAAGATGCCACAGATTCTGTCACATCTGTTTCATACTTGGATATTTTACTTGAAAAAGACACTAATGCTCATCTAACAACCAAGCTGTATTATAAATGTAATGACTTTACCTTTTCTATCATCAACTTCCCTTACTTATGCAGCAATATACATGTACCTTCATCACCAGCATACGGAGTTTATATATCTCAGTTGATTCGATACGCAAGAGCATGCTGAACGTATGAACAAGTTATAAAACAAGCTAAATTATTGACAAACAAGTTGATGAAACAAGAATTTCAGCAGTCTCGTTTAAAGTCATAATTTCGTAAGTTTTATGGTCGATACAATGACCTTGTCAGCAAATACAATTTATCATTGTATCAAATGCTGACTGATGACGGATTTTTTCCGATCATGACAAGAAGCACACAGTCTGTGTGACCGGTCAAATATCCCACATTTGATGTTTTGGAAATGTTTGCTGTGTTCAATTATTGCAATTTTTTATGGACTTTTGATAATAAAATCTCAATAATGTTTCAATAAAATTCCACATTTTACTTTGACAGGGGTCAGACGGGACAGAGAATGTTACTGACCACTGTGATAGAGTCAAGAGGAGAGAGACTACACGACGGAGACTCACAGAGGCAATTAGATGCCGTGTACTACTGGACTCCGGTAGGTGTAAATCAGTATCGGCTTTATGTCTCTCAGTTCATTCGATCACAAGAACATGCTCTTAGACCATTATTTACACACTGAAATTTCTGCAGATTGCTCCGTTTGCTCGGTCGTGTGAAGGTACACGAGTGTGACCAAAAAAAGAATTCCCAAGTAAAATCTTACAATGTTATATTTTGGACAGATTACAGCATCCGGAAGCAATTTGTCTCTGTGTCTTGTACTGGAGAAAAATAGCAACATTACTACACTTAATGACCTTCCGCGTCCGCCAATCAGCACCAGGGATTTTGTTTACCATAGATGGGATTTAACAAGATGGCCTCAACCTTACTGTAGACATTTCAACAGATATGCTACAAAAGGTACGTAAGGGTTTTTTTCATTCCAATATTTTCATATTTAATAGTCCGTTTATTCCATCGCAAACCACGTCAAATACACATCTCCTTCTGGCCGTGGTTGAAGTTTGTTTTCTTCGAATTTCATTAAAATACTTTTGACCAATGCGAGTAAAGCATAGTCGGATGAAGAACTTTATTGCGACCTTTCAATATATCCAATCGCAGTATAGGAAATATTTCTCGTGTACTGTTGACATCATTTATTGATTTCAATTGCGATTTTTTGCCTGAATATAACGTCAGAGTAACGGTTAATATTAACATTACGACACTTTTTGTGATCAAGCAACCACGGGTAGGAGAGAGCTATATGCGGACTCCGGATCGTGGCTGGAGAGTATGTTTACCCCCATCAAATCAAAGTGTTTGAGTCAAGGTACAGTCACTGCTCGATAGAGGATGTTTACTTCAGCATGACAACTGATCCTGCCTCTAATTTTTCTTAAGGTCGATGTCTGCTCTGAAATTGTACTATATATGATTATTTTTCTAAAGCATCAACGACGGTTAAATTAACACCAGACGCGTTCACAGATCCGCTAGAATACAAGGGGGTTGAAGAAACCGAGCAAAGAGTGCAACAGTATGTGAAATACCTCACTGGAACAATTACAACAAACCCGGGACTTAAAGTGAGTGGAGTATTCTCTGTCCCTTTATTTAATTTAACATAACCCCCTCCAAATATAAAATTAAATATCATATATAAGTTCACTCCCAAAACAACGAAAATGGTAGCCCATCTTTCCAAGTATTTTGAACCAAAAAGAATAAACAAATACACTTAATTTCTTGTTTCTTTGATTTTATGAAATAAACATTAAATGATTTTTTTTCCCTGAAGTGTTACATGTATGAAAATGCATTGAATAATTTACATAAAATTACCTAGTGATGGAAAAAAGATTTAGCGTGATATTAAGGTAATTCCACTCTCCTATGATGTCATAGGTTTTTGCAAAAACTGTTTTTAGTCTGAAATAGTACCTGATAGAACAATATGTTGAGGAATGCTTTTCAATAGGTATACTGATAAATATTGTAAAGTAAAAGAATTTAAAAATGCATTTTTCTTTATTTAATCAATTATATAATCTTTAAAAAATGTTGACAAGGGAAATAACTTCTTCTCAGGTCTCTTCATTCGGGCATTTGCTTTATTGTACTTCTAATGTAAAAAAGTTTCCCTGATATTCACAATTCAAAAGTATATTATAAGTAGGAAGTATTTAGGGACATTTAGCATCAGAATAATGCATTTTAACCAGTTTTACATATGTTTTCATAATACTGTTTACAAAAAATTTGCAATTTTTTGTTGTTGACATATACTTCTGTTTATTTATGTCTCCCATCTTAAATTATATGACGACCTATAGATTTATTGCAATAATTGAAAAATTTAAGGTATATTGAATGAAAATAAATGATGTTTTAGTATTTGAACCATCAGAATGTGCGGGTGGAAAGACCTTAATACACTTGTAAGGTGCTAATCGAGAATGGTTAAGCATTGAATCTTCTAAAACACAGTAAAAGCTTTATGCAGCTGTATAATTCTATCTTATAACTCATCTGTATGAAACCATAAATGATAATGATATCTAGTAAATAAGGTTGATCTTTGTTGGAAAGGACATTACATAATTATAAATCCAAACCCTAGCTGCTTTCCTGCATTCAGAATTGTTCTTAGACACTCTGCAGGAGATGCTCACTCCTCTATGGCACCTTATCTAACCTCTGATGTTATGTTAATTCATCTTTGATGGAATATTGAGCCTTAAATATATTTGAATATATATTTGAATATAACATTTTTATGTTAGTTATCTTAAAATTTTGAAATCATATATTTTGAACATTTAAGACGTCCGCAATTAATTCCATTCGAGCCACTTATCCCATTGAGGATTTTTGGATAAAAAATTCTAGTCTAGATGCTCCTTATCTGGTCTGGCGATATCTAATGACGGAAGATGGCGTCAACAGAATCTACCCAGGAATTCGGTTAACCAATGATTATGACCATAAACTTAGACCTTGGTAAGTGTAAGATTTCTTGACATTCATTTTTAATACAATTATGCATGCATAGATGTTCTAATCATGAACCTTTAAAGTTAGGCGTAAGAAATAAAATAATAAAACCAAGAATAGAGATGAATCATTTTCAAATTAGAGTAAATTCAGACAAAACTTTTTTTGACCTTCAGGTACCGCCGAACAGTTTCTCAGAAGTCTCTGAATGTGGTGTCTGCTCCGTATGAAGACGCCTGGGGATCCGGAAAAGTCATCTCAATAACCAGAGCCATTCTGAACAGGTACATACCTCGTTATACACAGATCTGACATGTTGAAAGCTTTAGTTTGAGTTGAAGATTCATAAAGGAGTTTTATGAAGAGACTTACTTTTACAATCGACGACTGACTATTACAATTTAGACAGAGACAAACTCCAATCACTAAAATGTAAAAGTCAGCTGTCAAATGAGTTGGATGTTGTTGGATGTTGGTTGAAGTAAGTTACCTTATATGGCAAGGATTCTTGCTTTAAATGTGAAACGGTGACTTTTGCATTTTTTTGAAAGTTTTATAACTTTGAGAGCCTAAAGACATTATCTTATTCGATTGTTCTTTGTTTCAGCAAAACAAATAATGCCAAGATAGAGGCTGTTCTCGGGACTGACTTTTCCATTTACTACTTCAATCAGCTGCTTAAAGATAAATATCCTGCATGTGCAAACACTACTTATTACAGGTTATAAATCTTCGATTCTTTATGCTCTCTTAGCTTTTTTGTTGTTATATCGCATGTGGAATCTCTTCATCATTCATTCTTGTTTGTAGTTCATAGCATTTTTTTCATTGTATCTCTAAATTTATTTCTATTCTTCATGATTTGCAAAATGTAATGTAATTTAAATCAGAAAAAAATGTATTGATTGATATAATATAAAATAGATAATCTCAATTTTGTTTTGCTTTTCATATTATGTTTGACATTTTTGACGTATTTTAGCTGCATTGTAATAGACAACAGCGGATTTCTAGTCATGCACCCGTATTACATTGAAACAACATCTCCTATAGAGGACCCTATCCACATCACCTACAAGGTAACGTACGAATGTTATAAACTGCAGATAATTTATTGACTTTCTATGCTAACAAAACAAAAGCTTTGTATTATAAAAATTAATGGTCTTTGAAGTGATTGATCCATCTATGTTCAGCAAGGCTTGATAAGGGTCGGCTACAAATAAAACATGTCTTCACTTTTCATTACCTTAAAATTACTGCTTACTCCACATGGGCACCTGATCCCACCTCTGTAATTTCATGATCTCTGTGTTTATTTCCTGATAACAGATTTTTATTGGCTGTGTCTTTTTAGATTGATCACTGTTTCTTGTTTTCAACTGAAATCAGCGTCATGGCTGTAACTAATAATGAAATTGTTAGCAATATATCACAAAAATCATCAGATCGTACTTGACTGACTTGTTTAGTACTAATCCTTTGACCTGTTTTCTTCTAAATTTATCTATGGAATATGCCTGATCAATATGATCTCAATAGGGCTAATGATGAAATCCACAGTCAGGGATGCTTACTCCTAAAAGGAACCTGATTCTACCTCTTAACTGTCTGGCTGCTGACTCCGTTGTGTGCCTTGTTCAAAAGAACTTGTTTTCATTTCAATACCAAAATTTCAATCTGCATATACCTTTCTAATCAAAATTATATTGAAAATGGTTTTTATCTTTTCAAACGGAATGCAGTAAGATATTTTTATTCCAACAATTGTAAACAGAATCATTCATTTTATAAAATTTTAGAAGTAACTAAAGTTTTTGGTTTATATATCGTAAGCTCTTTCAATACGCAAGAGCATGCTCTTTAAAAATTTAAAACGGGATAAATTGTGTGTCTTGTTCAGGGATTTGCGTTGTTTTCATTTCATTTCATACCACAGAGTCCGACATATCTGTTTCATATTTGGAATATTTACTTTCAAAAAAGATGTTAATGTTAATCTAACAACGAAGCTCTATGAGAAACGTGATGACTTTAACTTTACAATCGTCAGCTTCCTTTACTTATGCAGCAATATACCTTCATCGCCTGCATACGGAGTTTATATATCAGCAAATCGCGAGAGCATAAGAATAAGCAAATGGACAATTTAATCAACGGGTTTTATTAACAAACAAGTTGATGAAACATAAAATAAAGGCAGTAATTTTAAAGTTCATTTTGTAAGTTCTATGGTCGTTAAATTCAGCAAATACAATTATCATTCACGTATATTTAGGACGTTTCTCATACTAATTGTTAGTCCATTATTTATACACTGAATTGACGACGAATTTTTCCCGTTTTTTCCCGATCATGACATGGAGCACACGGCGGGTGTGACCGGTCAGCTCCTCCATGGCACCTGATGTCACCGCGGATGTTTTCGAGGTCCGTGTTTGCTCTGCTCCCATTTTGTTTTGTTTTATGGACTTTTAATCTTCAATGCTGTTCGTTATTCCACATGCTTCATTAGATGATATCTGTTCGTTACCTTAACTTTTTCGTTGCTAGAATATATTTAATTTTTTATTTTGAATACCAACCCCAGTGATTTGTTTTTGCCTACAGGAGGGAAGAATATCGAAGTCCTTGATTGCAGCCAGTGTTATGTTCAGGGAGCCATGCAGAGATACAGAGACGAAAAAAGAGCAATTCACATACAGAGTCAGTGAACTCTTAGGAAAGAAAATAATTAACCTACAGATTACCATATTACTCTGGCTTCCATGTTTCCAAATATTTCTTTGCTGTATCTCCATTCGTAAGACTGTCCTGGAGTACCAGCATTCTACTAACTAGTGAATTCTTAAATAGCACCTGTTATCAACTTAAACATATTTTATTTCTCCAGTGACCACCAATATAAATTATGAATAGAGAACAAATCGAACACTTCAAAAATGAGAACAATTTACATTCATGTATATGTATTATTTACACTCCAAAACAAGAAATTACAGAATGAGTATGAACACTGATCTAAATACGAAACTTTTTTTAAAATATATGTTATTTTAAGTCTTAAAGACTGAAATTGAAATATGTTCATCTGCTTCCTAATTTCAAAAGATGTAAATTACGCAATATTTTTGCACAGGTCAGATTGCCCCAGAGTCACCTGAATGGAATAGAGGACCCCAAGGAGGGGTATGAAATGCGCCCTGTTCAAGGTTCTAATGTGTTCCTCATTTTAAAACAAAGGATGCCGGGGGAGGAATCACCTTGCTGTTTCAAAAAGGTTATTTATCTTATTATTATTAGTCATTTTGTTCTTAATCAAACTTGCTCATAATTTTGTGCTGAAAATAATCTTTAAAAATAGGTCTTTTCTCTCCGGTAAACGAGATAATTTTTCAAAAAATATGCAAAAGCCCTTCATCAGGAGGTCACTTATTTAGGTAAGTATTCACTTAAAATTAATATTTCTTTGTTGTTTTCATACGAAAGAAAAATTACTTGACCTAATTAAGCATCCTTTGTCAATATTATGTATAATAATGTTATCATTCATATTTTTGCACTCATTTGGAGATCCGTGTTTGCTCCGCTCCTATTTTGTTTGTTTTGTTATATGCAGATGACACAATTCTTTAAGTCAGAAACACCAGAAGACCTTATACATAAATTGAATGAATTTAACAATCATTGTAAACAATGGCATCTGAAAGTTAACACCCTTATAAAACTAAGGATGCAATCTTTGGAAAAGACAGTCCAAGAAATGAAAAAACATTTACAAACACATTAGAAAATGCAGATAATTTTAAATATTTAGGTGTGAGTTTTGTAAAAATGGTTCATTTCACACAAATATTAAAGAATTATCTCAAAAAGCAACAAAGACTTTGTATGGTGTTATTTGAAAATGTAGAAAAGTAGGAAAAAAACCTGCAGAATGTACATTGGATATGTTTGACTAAATTGTAAAACCTGTATTTTTAGATGGATGAGAAATGTCAGTTTTAATTGATTGAAAAATTGCATTTAAAATTGTGTTAGCATATAAAATCATCAACACCAAATTTTATGGTACATGTATATGGTTTATGAAGAATTAGATAGAGACCCTATTTCAATTAATTTTTTTTTACAAGATGATAAATTATCATCGAATCTGTTAAGTATTTTAAATAACTACATTAATCCATGGTGTAACTGTAACTTTCTCAAATCTATACTGAATGAATGTGGGCTTTCTTTTATCTGGCAAATTTCTGATTGGTAAATGTATCACTGAATAAGTATTTTATAACACTCTGTATGATCATAAAGACTGGTACGAAATGTTACTATTAATAGAATTATAAATATATAAAACTTGATGTTTCTTAAAAAATATTTAGATTTTTGTCTATAAAACAAAAATGTTTTGTAGGTTTAGAACCTGTAATAATAAATTAAACTGTATCTTGAAAAAAATATATTTACTACAACTTCTATTATAATTTTTTTATGTTCCTTAATTGATTAGATGTAACAATGCCTTGAAGCCTTGAATTAGGATCTACTTTATAATTAAACATATTGGATATGTTCTTTAAAAATTGATACAAAACATAATCAAATAAATTAAGTATTTTGAATAAGTAAATCCTCTAAATTACTCCATCAATACAAAGAAAACACATTAATATTAAACAGCTTAATTTATTTTGTCAATCTATGTAAAAAATAATATAACAAATATAGCCCTTTAATTCGGTCAATCCAGAGATTGCTTCGTGCTCGGTCGATATTCTTTTCTGTGAAGTTGATATATCTATGAATCGACCTCATCAAAGGGCTATATTTATATTTTATCCATGGTGTAACTGTAACTTTCTCAAATCTATACTGAATGAATGCGGACTTTCTTTTATCTGGCAAAGTTGCCAACCAGTAAATGTATCTTGGCTGAATGAAGTAATTTTTAACACTCTGTATGATCGGTTTAAACAGTCATGGGACGGTGAAATGTTACCTTCGTCTAAAGCCTGAATTATAAAATATATTAAACTTCCTTTTATTTATAAAAGTATTTTAGCATTTTTGCCTATTTAGTACTGGAAAATGTTTTGTAGATTTAGAACCTGCAATAATAAATTAAATTACCTATTGAAGTAGGAAGATGGCATGTTGTACCAAGAGAAAATAAAAATTGTAAAATTAATTATGTTCCAATAATGAAAATGGTGATGAATTTCATTATTTATTGAATTGTAATGATTCATTTATTTTAAAATCAAGATTATCAATTATCTCAAAACATTACACTATATATACCAAAATGAGTATAAGTTTGATCAACTTTTTAATACAAAAATACAATTAAATTGACAAAACTGAGAGAGTTGTATCTCCTGGTCAGCTCATTGTTTTGTAACTTTGTACTTTTTTTCTTTTTCACGCATGCACATATGTTTAACTATACTTGAAATCTGTCTCTACACTGTATTTAATGTCAGTATATGAGAATATATTTATTGTCATTGTCATTATTTTATAATGTTTAATGGACTTCCGAGATCGAATATTGTTCGTTATCCCCATATATTTCAATTTAACATGTTAAAAATTAGAATATCTCTATCTTTTCCTATGGAATTAAAAACAAGCAAAATTTATCAGTTATCATTAAAAGCATTTAATGATTAACGTTTAATTTTTAAGACACTTAACTCTTGCTGATGGACACTCTTTTTCTTTTCAAAGTATGGATATCAATGTAAAATAATAACTCAAATCTATAGCACTGCTACAGTTTGTTTTGATACAAGTAAGAATTCTTTTTACGTATTGCACGAATTATTTATTTTCTTGTTTTTTTTTATATGTGTTTTTCAACAATTGTGTCGAATTTCTTGATGTCTGGTTAAACATTAAACTGTTTTTGTTTCATAAAAATAAGCCCACGTCATGTTTATGCTCTTTTGTTGTTAATGATAATTAGTGCTTGGATTTTGTATATTTGAGATGAAGTTGCAAACAATTGGTCTATGGACCTTCACATTTAATAAATACGATAAAAATCATATTAGTATGTGATTTTTCAGAGTTCCGAATCTCCCAGTGCTGTGCAGTGCGGGACTGGACAATGTACTTGTCTCTGTTACAAAAACCTGGATTTTAACGACTGTGAAAACAAATATACAAACCTGTAAGTAACCTTCACTGTATAAGGAAATAGTTATCAAAATAATCTTTGCCATAAAACTTCTTCTTGTTAACTTAGCAGATATAAAAAGAAAGAATTATTTATTTCACTTACCGGTACATAAAATGAAATTGTTCGAACATTTTGAAAGTTTGGTTTTTTTTTTTATTCAGGGATGAAAATATTCCGTGTAATCCTAAATTGCCCATTCTTAGTTCTGTCAGTGTACCAGAGGAAGACAAAACTAGAAATCTAGATACGTGCTTTCCAACAAACTGTCCTTGTCGAAAAACAGAAAGGCAAGTTATTATAAAGAAGTGCAAGGCTCAAAACGGCCAGATTTAGATAAATTCAAATAAGTAAAGATATCATTGATTATTTGAAAATGTCAGGAATTATCTCGTCTTTTTATGCGCGCAGTAAATCTGTGAAAGATCTCTTAAAATAATTAGATTAATGATATCTTTGATATTGAATAATATTAAAATAAACTATGTATGTGAAGAAAAAAGTATTCTTGTATTTAGAAAATTTTCTGTTGTTTTCGTTTTATCTTCTTTTTTTCTCAAAATTCTCTTAAATTACGAGCTACGCACGCTAACTCGAGATTCCTGTCTACATTTTGAATCAATATTAATAGCAATTTGGCCATAAAATCTTTGTTTTATACAAAACACTGCTCAGTTAAGAAATAATCAACAAAATTTAAAAGATCTCTGGAAAATGAACTTTTAGTAGGTCATGTGATCAAATCCTTTGAAGCCTGAAGGGCTTCTCAGTAGATTTGATCACGTACAACTTAAAGTTCATTTCCCAGTGAACTTTTTAACATTGTTGTTTATTACTTATATTTACGATTGACAGGAATACATTTCGAGTAAAACTGCATTTATTACACGAACGGGCCGCCGTATTGCTATGCTGTGACGCGCCATGACATAGAAGTTGTTTGATCTTGAAAGTTCACCTCGCTCCAACATTTGATTGTTTACATTCCAGTTCAGGAAATATCTGTATATACTCTGAAATAAAAAAAATATACATCCGAGTAACCGAGTACCTTTTTTAGTATTCGATACTCGGACGTTCGATCGTGTATTCGGTTAACCGGGTACTGTTGTCATCCCTAGTATATAGTGAAAGAACAATGATCGCTGCTGAGAATAATCTAACTATTTCATAAGTTCTTAAAATATTTGAAGTCAAAAGCGGTGGTATCGCCTGTTTTAGTTTACATAACTCCAAAGGAATTTCGGGTTAAAAAGATAAGTGCAGTTTTAGGTTAAATACATGTATAGTATTAAAACCTTATTCACATCAAAAGAAAATTTAAAGTACATCTCGTGATTGAAAAATATCCATATAGACAAAATATCACCTCGCTCTTTGATTCGGTCGCGCTATGACCTCTGACACCCAAATAAAATTCATAAAGAATTGAACATATTTTCTCTTCAATAGGTTCATCTAAAGAGATTTTTGCAAATGTAAATATTAGTAATTCATTAATAATTCTAATACCAGCGCTTAATAGCAAATTATTCCAAACTCTAGCTCTTGAAAAAAAGGATAGACGATATTTTCCATTGAAATAGGACTTTCAAGCATCACCTTATTTTGAAATAGTCCTGAACTATGATTAAATGTTCCTTAAATGTTTTGTCAATTCAATCACTAGTAATAATTTGATGAGCATACCAAAGCGACTCATGCTAATATCTTCAATGAATTATTTATTTAACGATATGTCTTTGTAATAATTTGTAAATTCCTTATGAAAACAAATAACGTGTAACGTCTACCGTTTGTGTATTTTTAAAATATTTCATACATTATAGCGAGTGTTTCCGTACTTCTGGTTGTTCTTGGTGTACAAGTACCATGGAGGGAAACGTGTTCGATTTAACTGGTGGATATTGCAATTTGAAGGAATCATGTCCTAACCAAATATGTGTAGTAGAAGGTAAAATATACAGAATTTTGTTTTGACACTTTTTTATAATATAAAAAGTATAATACATTACTTATATTTTGTCATGAAAATAATATCAAGAAGCGTTTTTGAAATTTTCAAAATATCGAAAAACAAGTCAGTAAAAACAACAGAGTGAATAATCACATGTAGCTTAACAAATACAGATAATGCTGTTACTAAAGTTTAAAATGGATAAGAAAATTAAAAAAAGAAAGGGTTTTAAATATTTTTTTTAAAATGTGCCCTTTGATAAATATACTTTTCTTTTTTAGATTGCAGTTCGAAATGTTGCGGTGCAGAGTGTGGTTCAGAAGAAAGTGAGTCATCAGTGGAAATAGTTGCCCCCGTTGTATCCGTAGTAGGCGTTATTATCATCGTCATTGTCGTCGCCATCATCGTCATTTTTGTACGAAAACGACGACCTGAAACTAATGACACATATTTTGACGCTGTCCACAGCGGTGTCGACTTGTCCTTTGGCGAGTGTGACAGCAACGTCACTGATTACGTCACAGTACCTGAGCTTCCGGAACTTAGTGCTAAAGCAGAAGAAAAATTAAAGACAATGTACGATAACAATTCATAAAAAAATGAATGAAATAAATTTAACATATCATAGCTAATATCATTCTGGGTCATTACCTCGTCATCAATTTGATAATAATAATTCTTATGATTGTAGAGCAGACTATAGTTATTATGTATTGAAACATATTTTCTAGAGTTTATGAACAAGTGTGATATTTTGTACCTCTTTTAAGAGATAATTTTTTTTTATGTTTGCTTGTATTTTTCATGGAGATACTGTTTTAAATCAGTAATTTAATTTTTTTTTAATGTTAGGAGTGTGTTTGATGAAAATTGAAACTGTCATACCATTGAATAGCTAAGACACAAGTTTTGCTTTGTCCATTCTTTTGCTCTTCATAACAAGTTTCAGATTAAACTCTTTACATGTACTTTCTTTAAGTTTAGAAAAGAGAATTTCAGTATTGTCTAAAGAAAACCAATTTATTTAAGTTTGAAACAGAAAATGTAATTAGTATTCATTTGTCAATTGTTTATTGTTTAATTTCTTGTACGATTCTGTTTCATGCATTTCAAAGTTAAAGTCTTTGGGTAATATATAGAATACTAGTACACAGTAAGAAAAAAAATCCTTGGATATATATTTTTATTGTGAACTACATGTGTATAACTTATTCTACATGAAAAAAAATAGAATTTTGTATTGCACAAAGAAGATCGGCGTACGAGGGCTATTCAATAAATAATGTCATCAGCTGGATGTCATACAACATAGAAATCATATGACATTAAGCTTGACTTTCTCTCATTATTGAATCTTTAATGAATTGATAACACTTCATGTGACCAATTTTCATCACATAGTTTTGTTGTTGGAAGCTAGAAAACAAGGGCTATTCGAGACACTGCATTAAATGAATGGTAAAGAATCAGTAAACTAGAGTGAAGTTAAATGCTTCTATAAAGTTGTTGTAAAACTTGTTTAGAATCCCAAAGAAATATTTACTGAAATTTAGATCAACCAATGTCTGTTTTATAGACACACAAGCAGGTTGATTTCAAAGAACAGAAATGATAAAATGGGCATCAAAAATGGATACCCGGTATTATCCTTGACGACAAGGACTTGCAACAAACAATGTATTATTTGCGAAAATTCATCAAATTATCACTGATTATGTTTGCCTATTATTTGATTGACTTTAAGACACGTAGCAAATTTGATAGGCATCAATTTGGAGGTAGTTTACAGTGTTTTGAAGAAACATTTAATAGTAAAAAAGCTTTGTACTCAAAGATCACCCAATGTTTTGAAAAATGAGTGAAAACGACAGCGTGTAGAAATATCTAAACAATTATTTTTAAAAAAAAATCAGAAACTGTCCACGTTTGTCTGAAATTCAAACAGATAATGAAACTTGAATCCATTACTTAAAACCCTCAAATTAAATTAACATTAATAAGATTCACTTGACAAAATAGCAAAGGGCTGAGAAGAGCAAAGAATTGCAAGTGCACAAAAACAGGTTTCTATGCAATTTTCTTAAATATTAGTGGTGTTGTTGTTCAAATTCTTATTCGGGAGGCAGTTAAATTTCTGGAAAGCATTTTTTTTGCAGGAAATTGAAAGGTCTATGAGAGAAAGGAACCAGAATCAGTAATCCACTACATTAAATTTCTTCATGACAGGCCATGAAGAGCAAAGTTGTTTAGGGGTGGGGGGGATAAACAGAAAGTTAATGTTTTGTCATACCAACAATACTCACCAGACCTTTCAACATTTGATTTGTTTTATTTACCAAACTTGTAAAACAACACCTTTCAGACAGAAGAAAAAACAAGTATAGGAAGTCATAGGATCTGCCATATTCTAGTATACGAAGGGTCATACTCAAAAATGTGTTCTAAAACAATTAGGAATTGAATAAAAATGCTACGGACATGTATCTTAATTAAAAGAGAGTATTTAAGTGAAATCATCAACATTAAAAAGCGGGGTTTATTATTTCTTTCCGAATACTATATAATGACATTTATTGAACAGCCCTCGTATTTGGCGTGTTTTGGTTGCATGGCTGACCATACATATTGCTGGTCAGATTTAAAAAAAATCCATAGAACTTTTTCATGTACTTTGAAATACCGTGTCAGATTGTAACGGTAATGACCGTTTTAGGAGGTACTACAACATAGTAATGTTACATAAAAAATAAATACCTATAAGATGAAAGGCATAGATGATACGTGTACATGTACACCAAAGTTTAAGTAGAATGAACGCATTCCAAAATCAAAACAGAAAATCTTTTTTTCTGTTTTAAGCATTTTGCCCTTAGGTATTGACAAAACTCAACAAATAACACAGTTTACAAGATATTTATTGGTGAATATCAAAAGTTTAAAGAACGCAAACCATCGTTTACATAGCTAGATTTTACGGAGTAAATTTCCTCCCAAAAACTAACACTGAAACAGTTTTCAATACCACATTACAATTTAAAAAAGGCAAAAATCTACGGGGTAAATTTCCTCTCAAAAATGACACTGATACAGTTAACATACAGTAGTCAATTCAAAAGCGACTATCCTTGATATAACAAGATTTTACGGAGTAAATTTCCTCCCAAAGAATATCACTGATACAGTATTCAATACAACAATTACAATTTGAAAATAGCACAAAATCTACAGAGTAAATTTCCTCTCTAAATTCACATTGGTGCATTGTACATTCAGTATTTCAAAGCCAAAGTAACCATCGTTTACATAGCTAGATTTTACGGAGTAAATTTCCTCCCAAAAAATATCACTGATACAGTGTTCACCACTACAATTACACTTTGAAAATAGCAAAAATCTACAGGGTAAATTTCCTCTCTAAATTAACATTGGTTCATTGCATATTCAGTATTTCAAAGCCAAAGAAACCATCGTTTACATAGCTAGATTTTACGGAGTAAATTTCCTCCCAAAGAATATCACTGATAAAGTGTTCACCACTACATTCCAAAATAGAAAAAAACTCTACAGAGTAAATTTCCTCCCTAAATTCACATTAGTGCATTGTACATTCAGTATTTCAAAGCCAAAGTAACCATCGTTTACATAGCTAGATTTTACGGAGTAAATTTCCTCCCAAAGAATATCACTGATAAAGTGTTCACCACTACAAATACAATTTGAAAATAGCAAAAATCTACAGGGTAAATTTCCTCTCTAAATTCACATTGGTTAATTGCACATTCAGTATTTCAAAGCAAAAGAAACCATCGTTTACACAGCTAGATTTTACGGAGTAAATTTCCTTCCAAAGAATATCACTGATACGGTGTTCACCACTACATTTCAAAATAGAAACAAGAGGCCCAGGGGCCATATCGCTCACCTGAGTGTAAGACCTTTACTTGCAAGAATTATGCATGTAGATGTTGAGTATGAATTTCTTTTTATTCATTTTCTGTAATTGGGCTTGATCTGAGCATAAAATTGTTTAGAATGGCTTTCTTTTCAACCAGTGCTTAATTAATGCTTACAGTGTACCTCATTATCAATTTAGTCATAAAGAGGTCAATCTCAGTATTTCTGCGGAATATAGCACTTGTACTGTCAACTCTGAAGTGTACTATGCTTTTATTGAACAATAACATTTCTCTCCTTTTTGGGGGGTGTAACATTAGCTATGATAGTTACTGTGGAATCACAAATTTTCGTGGGGGGTTAATTTTCGTTGTTTTCGTGGTATGACAAGACCCACGAATTCATGTCTACAACGAAATGTAAAATTTCACACACATAAGTACTTATTGATTCTTGATCCACGAAATCAAATCCCCACGAACCAAGAAATTTTCCTCAAACCACGAAAATTTGACCCCACGAAAATATGTGATTTTACAGTATAATAAAAACAGAAAATGCGAATAAGATTTTACTTTTATTTCTTTACAAAATTCAACAGATTTGGTGAAAATTTATCAGACAATTAGTAGAGAATATAATGAAAACTAAGAAGCGTTAATAACAATCAACTATCTAAATTTCATATGATTTCAACAGACATATATAATCACAGTATCAAATATGCAATATTGCAACAATTTTGTGACAGAAATGCAAAACTTCCTGACAATAACATTACATGTAAACATAGATGCTTTTTAAACAGTTCAAAATTTGTTTAGAGGAAAGTTAAATACATCAAGGTAATCGTTTGAAAGATACAAAATATACTGTATTTATTTTTAAGTTCACTTAATAGTAAATCTTTCCTATACATAACGAAAGCGAAAATTGGAAAGATTCCAACTGAAAGTGAATAATTATATGAATAATTATATGACACTGACTTTGAACATCAACTATTATTTTTAAAGAATTTTTAATAAGTAACATTTACCGGTAATTGGAGTACCTGCAGGAATCAGATAACCTAAACTTGATGGTAATATTCCAAAATGGAGTGATTAAGATTTTTGCAATCAATAATTTTGATTTTAAAGCCCAGTCATGAGAAATTATAGTGATCCACCTTTTTTTCCCTGTCTTTTAAAGGAAAAATTGTAATGTTATAAAGAGGTAGGTTTACCTCCCTTTACGGGCTGGCCATTGACCCCCTCTTTTCATACTTACCTGGGTATAAGTCGATTCTCATGAAATTATAATATAATGGTGGTCACATATTAAATATCTCAATGCTGGAGAAAATTAAATATCAATTAGTATGGAGTTAACTGAAATCAGCAATATACTAGTAGCTTAGAATGAGTTGTCAGTTTCTGTCTGATTATGCAGGTTGCTTTCCTATTCTACACAGGTATAAGCTAAAGCTAGTAAAAGTAAATGTTTAAAGCTGAATGACTTGAAATACAAAAATACAATAAACTTAACATTTTAAGACAAAAAAAATCCAAAAAGATAAAAATTCAAGACAAATTATTTCAACACAAAGTTTCATATATACAATGAACATACATGTAAATGATGTTAAAAGAAAATATTTGCTCTGGGAAAAATATTAATTCATATACACTGTAAAAATTTATACTCTCATGTACTCCAGTATTGTTCAGCAGGGACTAAATGACACAAGACATAGTAACATTTTTAAACTTACAATATTTCTATACAGCAAAATTTTATATGAACAGATGCCGGTAATATTCGATGAATTTACTTCATAAAATTATAGAATACAGTGTTGAACATATATCAAAGATACCAATTACTTGATGCAAGTGCAACTCTAATCATTATTAAGCAGAACTCATTATTTTCTTTAAAGTAAACTTTGTAAACAATTCATGTAATCTCAAAATATTTCATGTATACCGGTATTCAAAATACAAGTTCATGATATTCATATGTATAATCATTAAAGAAAAGAATCTAAACAGTAAGGGTAAAACTATTATCTCACAAACATCAATACAGTATATTCATAATTTCTAAATATTAATTAACACATAATATATACAATGATCATCATTTTTTTTTTACATGAATGATTGTTATTGATGGTACATAAATTTCCCTTAACATGCAACATTCAATTATTTGTACATTTATTGTCTGTTAAAAATTAACCCACAATAAAAATTCATAATGAAGGATTCCTGTTTAGTACAATCATTTTAGTACAGTTATTTGCAAATTTTTAAGGCTATTCAATGCATACATATAAAAAATAGTTTAAAGTTACTAAAAACAAACAAGATTTTACATCAAGTAATTGGTGTCTATAAGATACTGTATACAGGGAAATATTCGCCCCATTTCATTTTTCCCACTGTCATCCATCTGAGGTAAGACAAATTTAAAACAGGGTAAATTAAAAGAACACGTAGTATGATTTCTTCAATAATACTGTGAGTGGGGATAATTTAAACGCTGAAAAAATTGTGTGAAAGGCTGAAAATAACACAGCCAGGGCGAATATAACCCTGTATACAGCAATCAATGTACCAAATGTCACTAAGTGACACTGGCACATCGATAGGTGGGAGAGGGGACAAGATGACGTATCTCCCCCAAATAAATACTCTTGCGTCCCTTATATCAGATTTATAAAGAATATGTACAGTAAATCATTTTATGGTCCGACCAATATGCCTCAATCACATCAGTTTCACAATGAGGGAAGTTTGTGAAAATCAAATCAAGTTGTGAACCTGAATCATGAGTTACCTTTTTGATCAATTGTGTGCATTTTAAATTCAACTTCATAAAGTTCAGAAATTCTTTGTGACCTGTAAACAAATCAAAATTGAAATCTCCAAGAATTATCAATTTTTTCTCTGTGTCTACAAAAGGTTTCAAGTGCAACATAACTTCACGTTCAAATTCTTTAAAAGAACATGCTGGGAACTTGTATAAAACAACTATCTGCACTTCTCCAAGGTCTCTGAAATTTATTAAAGCTATGATGAATTCAAGCAAAGTGTTACTGAATTTTGAGATACATGTCATCAAATGGTCTTGTTTAACATATAATGCTGTTCCATGATGAGGCCGATTGCTGTCACTTCTCTTTTCATGATTAAACAAAGTCAAGTAACCTTCCATCATAAAATTCTGTTCATCATTGATGGTTAGTCTTGTTTCTGAAAAACCAATAACATCTGATGCTACAACATTGGGTTCATTTTTAATTTCATCAAAATGTTTGTGAAGAGATCTTGCATTATTAAACATAATTTTTAGTTTGTTCTGCTCTGTTTTGTACAATGGAAGATAACACAGCTTTAGAGGTGCTTCCTTCCTCATTCTTTCCATTTCTTCTACAACTTTATCATCAACAGTTAATGCTTGCTCATTGAAATTCAGAATATGCAATTTGTCAACAGATCTAACTCTACTAAGAGCTACATAATGAATGTGGGGTGTTTTCCTTATCCTTGACTGAGATAAATCTACTACAATTTCATCAACAGTGCAGCCCTGAGCCTTATGAATTGTCTTACCTGCAGCTGGTCTTAAAGGAAACTGTATTCTTTGATATGTAGTTGAATTGAAAACAAAAGATCGCTGACAGTCAAATATCGGTGTCCAATCATCCATAACACCATCATGGAAAAGATGTCTGTATTTCTGTCGAGCAATTCTCCCTAATGCAGAATCCAAAAACTTCACCCATACTATACTTGGCCTTGATACACCAGGTAATCTGTTTTCAACAAGAAATACAGTACATGATGAACCATTTGTCAAGCCATCAGTAACATCAATATTAACTGTAATGTCATATATCATTCCAATGGCTAGAGTTAGTTTTGTCATGAGATTTGCAGTTTTGCTAACATCATCTTGATTTTGCAATGATCTGAGTAGTCGGTCTTTCACAGACTTACTGTGGTCTTGGAGGACACTGTCAACAGCTTTTACAATAACTTTTTCACCAGGAAGTTGCTCTATAAGTTTATTGTTATATTCATCTACTTTTGCATTCATTGTGAAAAGATGGGGAGCATTGTGTGGATAATTTGGACTATTTTCAGCAATGATGCACCTGTGAATTATATCCAAGTCCTCAGAAGTCATCTCATTGTGACGAAGACGGTTCAAAAGCTGTGCAAATTCTAAATCATCCTTTTGTCGCATTAGTTCATCTAACTCGAATAAGGTGAAGTTTTCTTTCCAAAGATTACATGCAAGTGCTTGGGCATTTTGTTTTAAATCTTGAAAAATCCAGCCATCCATAATTGGTTTCAGTTGAAAGAAATCTCCAACAGCAATAATACTGATGCCTCCAAACGGCCTCTTCAAACCAGTAAGAAGCTGAAGTCTGCCATTGATAAATTCCAACTTTGCATTGCCAACCATTGAAATTTCATCTATGATGACAACTGACAAATTTCTGTATTTAGTTCTAAATGTGTTGAGTTCATCACAATGCATATTTTGCTGCCTTTGGTTAATTTTCTGGTGAAATGCAGAAGCAATTGTCTGACCACCAATGTTAAACGCAGCTTTACCAGTGTATGCACAAAGAAGAATTCGTATATCGTCTGGATTTTCACCCTCCTTAGCACATAAATACCGATGTAAAGCTTGATAAAGCGCTTTAATTAACACTGACTTCCCAACTCCTGCACCTCCTGAAAGATATGCATGAATAGGTTCCTGTTTAGACTTGATCCATTGCATAACATGATTGAAGAATTCGCGTTGCTTCAAATTTAAACTGGCTACAAGCTTTAAATACTCATCATCAGGTAATCTAACAGAACTCTGTTCATTTAATTGTCTTGTTGATGGAATTCCAACTTCATTTCCTATATCATACTCTCTCTGTTCAATTGGCCTTTCTGGATTAAAGTGAACGAATGTTTCAGAATCAACATTTCCTTCATATTCATCATCTGCGTCAGTTTGTTGAGTACCAGGAGCTAATTCATCATATGCTTCTGTCAAATCATCCTGCGCCATCTGTTCTGCCTGCTCAAGCACATCAGCATTGTGTTCATACTGTTTGATTTTCTGAGCCAAGAAAAATTTTTTCTGGTTAAATGACTGCTCAAAGCTCTGCTGTCCACACAGAAGATCAGAACATTCATTTCGCCATGGAGTGAACAGCATTAGTTTTTCTCTATAGTAATTTTCTGGGTTTGTCTTTAAGCTATAACGCACATATCTTATAACTCTTGGTGTTTTTCTGCGCTTGATTTTAATTCCATTTCTCAACACAACTAATGTGCTGTCTTCTTTAAATTCACCCTCAGTATCACTTCCACTATCTTCATTTTCTGACTGGTGCTTCTCATCATCATTTGTTTCCATTTCAGACAGCTCACTTATACTTTCCTTTGGGAAAACTACATCTAACTGTGACACATAGTCAGCTAAACACCAGTTTTCAAGTTGTTTTGGATGTTTTGCATATCTTTTGACTATGTTACTGCATTCTATGTCTGTGGAATTAGCATTCAACTTTTCAAGTTCTGAATCAGGTTTGACAAGTATTACACGGTCATCAACTGGAGATGTGTTTATGAACATTACATCTCTTGATGCTTTTGTAAGGGGCATTTGCAAAACTAGATATGCAGCTTCTTGTGCTCCAACTTCAACACTGTTAAGAAATTGATTTCCAATGTGTCTAACTTGTCTCTTAATGTCAAGATTGCCCTCTCTTGCTTCCTTAGCAGCTCTACTCAGCAGCTCACTCATTCCTCTTTGGGATTTACTTATGTATGAGACAATGTACATTGCACAAGCATATGGATCCAAAACATACTGAATATCAATGTTTGCTGCCCAAGCATGAAGAAGAGTACTGTTGTAAGCATTCACTCTCAAGTCACAGGGTTTACGTTTTAAAAATACCTTGGGTGTTCTCAAAGAACTTCTGATGCATTTTATATAATCATCTTCAGAAAGTTGTAGTACATTCTGCAAAAAGTCTTGGAAAGTGCAGCTTATGTCACATCCATTTTTAAAGTCATTCACTTTGTCTTGCATAGTCTTGTGCATTTTCTTGTATTTATCAATGTCACTGTCCAAAGGTTCTAATATCATAGTAGCTTGGAGTGGTGGAAGTGGAAATCCAAATCTACAAACAGCCTTTCCTTTTTTCTTGCATGTTTGTGAGTGTTTATGAACCTGCAATTCTGTCAAATTGTCTTCTGTATTCCTTTCACACTTCAAGTAGCTGTCAACAAATGCAGCAATTTCCTTGTTATCATTTTCTAAGTATTTTGGAGCATTTTCAATCCAAACAATCATGTGAACATGTGGTGATCCCCTCTGTTGAAATTCAACTCTATAGAAAAAGTCCTGTATCTTACCAATAGGATGATGATCACTCTTAAGCACAGTATTCAAAAAAGTCCGAAAACGATGATCAAAATACCTTGTGCATGTAATCGGATCTTTCTGAATTAACTTTGACTTTTCAGTCCATGTCATGCTCTCAATTTCAGAATCTGTGTACTGTTTGTCATCGTTTAAAACTCCTAATGCTCTGATCAGATCATTCCAACGTGTATCTGCAGCAGAAAAGGACATAAACCAAGTTGGTAGACCAAGCTGTCGTATCATTGCAAAAACGTCTTTCTTTCTTGTTTCAAGATAAGGAGGAGAATTTCTCAACTGTTTGAAAACATAAAATCCCTCATTGTGTCTAACAATGTCATTGATTTGATCAGGATTTCTTATTTCATTTGCAGTAAAGGTTTTCCCCTTTGTTTTGCACTTTCTAAGGGCTAAATTGCATTTGTCTGTTACCTGTTTTAGTTGAATCTTTTTCAATTTGAAAAACAAATTTGGTACCGACTGTGCAGCACGTCTATCAACACTTCGTAATTCCCACTTGGCAATATCAGCATATGAAACAGGTATTTGACGCTGATCGTTTTCTACCCTTCCTTTGCCACAAAATATTGTAGGAAATGACAAATACTCAGCCATTTGATCTTGATACAAACTAATTGGTCGCTGTCCCTCTCCTGGAGCAAATGTGAAGATCTGATTCATGTCATACGAGTCACTGTCTAGTAAAGTATCACGATTTCCATCCTTACCACTATCAACTTCACAGAATTCATCAGAGTCTGATTCATCTGATTGGTCATGCATTGCTGAATCTTGATTGGTGTGACCCTCTATAAACTCTCTCATTAATTCGCTTGCGGAATTGGTGACCTCAAGGAACCAGTTGTCATCTATGTTTATGTTTGAATTCTGATAATATTCACTGTTTTTCATTAACCAATGTAAAGCAATCAGAACCTTTGTAGGTCGGATATTTTCATGACAATAAGAGTGCTGAAAAGATAGTTTCCTTTTTAACTTCACAGGTATTGTAATATTTTCATCAAGTCTCCTGGGAAGACTGTTGATTGTTGGTTGAATGTCAACTGGCACGTTTACAACATTTCCTTTTACTGAATACTGCCCTCCTCTTGGTAATTCTCTTATCTGCATGAAGGGAATTCTTAAGGATACGAGTCTTTCTTCCAATGGTAACAGATTTAATTCACTTGGTTTTTGAAGCCATGTCATTCCATTTGCAATAGAGAGTTTTGGCGTTCGACTTTCTTTTAAACTTGAATTGCATGTGTTGCATATCCATTCCTGCCCATTTACAGACTTTGTATTAGTAAAATACTTCCTTTTGATTTCAGCATGCAACAAAACATTATCTACATTTGAAACACTTTCGTGAAACCATGTCTGTTGGCAACATGTGCATACAAACACAGGACCCAATCTTACATTGTTGTGAAAATTGTCAACACACTCAATTGCATCAACTCCAAATTTACTTTTTCTGTATCTTTGTTTTTCAGTTTCAATATAGTCCGAATTCCCCCGTGAGTGTGCTTTTGATTGTTTTGCAGCAATATTTTCTGATGATCTATACTCTTCATTTTTTCTCTTTTCTTTCATCTTCAATCTTTCTTTTTCTAACTGGTTAGAATTTTGTCTCATTTCTTTTTTCTTCTTTAAATCTCTTGTTTGCTCATCATGCCTATACTCTGCATCTTGTCTCTTGTTTCTTTTACTGTCCCTTTCCCTGTCTTTAAACTCTGGATCTTTTCTCTTGTTTTTCTTACTGTCCCTTTCCCTGTCTTTAAACTCTGGATCCTGTCTCTTGTTTCTCTTACTGTCCCTTTCCCTGTCTTTAAACTCTGGATCTTTTCTCTTGTTTTTCTTACTGTCCCTTTCCCAGTCTTTAAACTCTGGATCTTGTCTTTTGTTCCTCATACTGTCCCTTTCCTTTTCTTTGAACTCTGGTTCCTGTCTCTTGTTCCTCATACTGTCCCTTTCCTTCTCTTTAAACTCTGGATCCTGTCTCTTGTTTCTCTTACTGTTCCTTTCCCTGTCTTTAAACTCTGGATCTTGTCTCTTGTTTCTCATACTGTCCCTTTCCTTTTCTATGAACTCTGGTTCCTGTCTCTTGTTTCTCATACTGTCCCTTTCCTTCTCTTTAAACTCTGGATCCTGTCTCTTGTTTCTCTTACTGTTCCTTTCCCTGTCTTTAAACTCTGGATCTTGTCTCTTGTTTCTCATACTGTCCCTTTCCTTTTCTATGAACTCTGGATCTTGTCTCTTGTTTCTCATACTGTCCCTTTCCTTTTCTATGAACTCTGGATCCTGTCTTTTGTTTCTCATACTGTCCCTTTCCTTCTCTTTAAACTCTGGATCTTGTCTCTTGTTTCTCTTACTGTCCCTCTCTTTTCCTTTAAACTCTGCATCTTGTCGTTTGTTTCTTTTACGGTCTCTTTCATTGTCTTTAAACTCTGGATCCTGTCTCTTGTTTCTCTTTCTGTCCCTTTCCCTTTCTTTAAACTCTTGATCTTGTCTTTTGTTTCTTTTACTGTCCCTTTCCTTTTGTTTGAACTCTGATTCCTGTCTCTTGTTTCTCATATATTCTCTCATGTAATCCTTTTTATCTTTCTTTATCGCTGTTGTTTTTAAGTGACCAGTATTGGTACCAGCAGATTGTTTGTTTGTGAGAGCAGTTGTTGTTAACTGATCTAATCTACAATATTGATGTGTACTTTGATTATTACTAGGGAAGCTATGAATAAGTGTGCGAAAGGCAACAGGCATCACTTCAAACTCAGTTGCAAATTCAATGTGCATACTTTCATACATTGCATACAGAAATCCTAACAAATCATCTAAGCAGCAACTGTGTCTCATCAGAGACTTTCCATCACATTCAGACAAACCATTTTCCCCATGAGAATGCGAGTCAAAAAAATAAAAATCATTGTCTGAAGCTTTGTACAGTGCTGAACATATCGAGCCAATCATTATTAATACATATCTAGATAACCCCAATGCTTGTTGCAGACATTCATGTAGAGTTTGAATTTGATTTCTCTTATCATCTGTAACTAATAAACCAAACAATGTATCAAACTTGTCAACAATGTGATGATTTTCACCAGAATCAATATGAAGTGGTAGTTCATCAAACATCAGTAACCTACTTTTAAAATTTCCAGCACTCTGGAGATTCTTCACAGCTGTGTTGTACAAATTATCTCCCTTGAGCAGAGTCTGATCTAAAAAGGAACTAGTAAATGAAAAATTTTCATATGAATTTGACAACATCATAAGTGAATTGCATGTACACTGATTACCTCTTGAAAATGATGAAAACCTCATGCTTCCCTGATGGAAGGATCCAAACACGAGATTATCTGAATTCTGATGCATACAATTACCTTGCAGTGCATGTGTTGTTTCATTTGGTATATTGTTCATTGTAAACGGAGTAATATTCTGAGTTGTAATCTGAGATATATTCTGAGTAAGCAACTGAGAGGAATTCAGAGTAATCATTTGAGGCAACTTTTGAGGCAACATTTGAGCCAGAGGCAACATTTGAGGCATAGTTTGAGCCAGAGGCAACATTTGAGGTATAGTTTGAGCCAGAGGCAACACTTGAGGCATAGTTTCAGTCAAAGTGGTCTCAGGGAGAGCCGCAGAGACCACTGTCACAGGGGTGGTAGAGATCACCCCTGCCGGTACAGATGTCATAGGTGTTAGGACGTGGCCTACACCCAGAGGCACAGATGGTTGGACGTGGCCAACATCTGTGGGGTACTTGTCACCCACATCTGCCTTACAAGATTTCGTCTTCTTCACAGCAGCTTTCTTCCAGCTCTTCTTCCTAGGCATTCTGTGATCTACAAAAAACATAACAATGTTATAATCTATAGTATATAATAAGGATCAGCATAGCCTACACATGATACTAACACACATTCTCGAATTCATAATGCTGCCATCACTGACACTTTCAGATTTGAGAGCAGTTGTTCGAAACTACATTGCAGATACTTTTAAAAATATATACTTACCGGGGGTACTTTAAGTTTGTAGCACAAATCAAATTAAAGAAAGCAGAAAGTTGAAAAAATTTAAAACCTGAAAGTTAAATTCAAAATCACATGCAAAACATATGACAACATTCATTTAAAGAGGTCACTTGTGTTGCACAGTGGTTAAAGGCACACACTAAGGAGTTTATCCTTAGTTCGCTGGTTCGAATCCCACTGTGGGATGTGGAGACTGATCGCTTGGACGAGACCCTTTAAACAGAGCTCCTGTGTCTCTGTAGGTGCTGGAATGAAAAAGATCCCTCACTGCTAAATTGCCCTGAGTGCCAAGTATTGTACAAAAATTTGTAGATCTCCACTTGCAAGTGGTGGCATCTCATACGAATGAAAAATTCAGAGGGTTGTTAAATAACATACAATCAATCATTTTATGAGAAACGCAAGTTATATGCAATTTGTAAACCATTTTCACACAAGACTTACCTTGAACATGTGACACACATTTAAGAAATTATATGTACCATATAAATGTATACAAAATATACTGGCATAGCTTTTGTGCAATAAGTCCAAATTACATACCGTGTAGCGGGTTATTTTAGTGGGGTGCTAATTTTAGCTTATTTTGGCATTTTGATGGTAGTCCACTAAAATTTTAATCGCTAAAAACAAAATATACTGGCATAGCTTTTGTGCAATAAGTCCAAATTACATACCGTGTAGCGGGTTATTTTAGTGGGGTGCTAATTTTAGCTTATTTTGGCATTTTGATGGTAGTCCGCTAAAATTTTAATCGCTAAAAATAGTCAATACTCATCTTAGTGTTAATCTGCAAACCGCTGAAACTCTGTCAGCTAAAATAAATTACACCAATTTATTGGCATACCTTTGAGCATGCATAACACCAAATTTTACACCCGCCAAAAAAACTTGCTATATGGTACCTAACCATTGTGGTATTCCATAAAAATTTTCTTTTATCGTGTTTATCGAGAACTGTGTGTACATTGGTATTGTATTTAACCTGCAGTCAAAATTATAAAAGCAACCCTTTAAGCCATTTCATTTTTTTCTCCCTTATGCCACTACATGTATCTTTATTTTTTCATAACTCGTATCTAAAATTACAGTCTGGATTCTTAAAATTTCCTATTTTGGTCAAAACCTTTTATTCTGCCATTTCCTCTAAATATTCCTATAACATGTTTTATAATTTGCTAGCATTTAATACCTTGAAATTTCTTTTGAAAAAGATTGATTAAAATCAATTCCTTTGAATTACATCATTTTTATCATCATAAAGTCTGCAAGTTTTGGAAGTATATATAGTTTTCTTGTCCACAAAAACTTTAACCTTGCTTATAACCTTTGATTGGCTCCTCATCCACTATGGCTTTCACATTTCACAGGTGTATTTCTTGTGATAAGACTTTCCAACTTTCAATTATTAAAAGAAAAATTAATAAACATTTATCATTATGAATAAGTTTAACTTTCCAGTGTTTATGTTATTTGAATTAAAAATTTCAATTATAATTCATTATTTATCAATTATGCCCAGCTAATTATTACCGATAATTGATTCTAATTATTTCCGATTTCCCATCACTAGAACTTGAATCAGACTGCTAATTAAATAAACCACATTATTATTATTCTACTTTTATATAGCACCTTATGTAAATATGTTATTACCCTGAAGCACCTTACATGTATAAAACAAGTACCAGGGGCGGATACAGGATTTGTGGTTAGGGGGGGGGCGTGGATAATTCTGTTGAGGCAAGAGGTCTGGGGGCCGCCTTAAGGCCCTTAGTAGGTCCAGGGCGAAGCCCTGGTGGAGGCCCAGGGGGCAAAGCCCCCGGAAGCTCTTGGGTTTTCATGTATTTTAAAGTAAAATCAGGCACATTAATAGTGCATATTTTTCAATTATTTTTGTTAAAAGTATATAGCATATAGGTGGGGGCCCAGCTCCCGGAAGCTCCTGGGTTTTATTGTATTTTAGAGTAAAACCAGGCACATATTAACCAGTGCATATTTTTCAATTTATTTTTGTTAAAAGTATATAGCATATAGGTGGGGGTCCAGGGGGCGAAGCCCCCTGAAGCTCCTCGGTTTTCGTGTATTTTAGAGTAAAACCTGTGCCGCACAATAATAGTGCATATTTTTCAATTATTTTTGGTATAAGTAAATAGCATGTAGGTCCAGATGTTTGAAAAATAAATGTTTTGAATATTTCACATTTCTCATTGTATTGTAACACATGTCACTATATAATAAACGATTTACTTACTCATAATGGTATTGGTTAGTGATGTATCAAAGTACGACGTGTTTAATACTTGTCATGTCATACTTTGAGTAGTAGGGGCGCAGCCCCCGGAAGCTCCTGGATTTTTGTGTATTTTAAGAATAAAACCAGGCAGAATAACACTTATTTGATTAGTTTTGTATCAAAATGTGGCATTATAAGTATTAGTCACATCATACTTTGAAAATTTTAGGGGGGGCGTGCGCCCCCCACGCCCCCCTTAAATCCGCCAGTGAGTACAATATAAAACAAAGAACAAGTGCAATATAAAAGGCAGAATTGTAAAATCATGAAAATGACACCTTTCTCCTATTAATTTTTTTTTAAATAAAAAATACCCAAAAACAATAATGAACTGCAAGTAGATCTATAGCCTTTTTATTGTACTGTTGTCTTTTTTAAGCATTTTACGCACACTACTAATAATGTCTATGCTTTTTTTTAGCCAATTGTCAGGAACCTGTGTAGGCGATATTCTTCATCTCTGCGATTGACACAAAATCACAATTTATGTAGGAGTTTCCTTTCTGCAAACTTCGACAAACACTTCGTACTGCTGCTAAAGTACTTTCATTAATAATAAGTTATCCTTTATAAATATGTCCTGATGACAGGTGTACCTATATGCGAGAGTTGTCACTGTAGACGACTCACATTTACAAAAGTTTTTCCCCTTTGTGGGAACTATCCGGGGTCAACCAGCGTAAGGCACTGTTTTCCCTCTATAACCTTACCAACTTTATAGATCAGTATCTTACTTCTACTCTTAGTAATTAAATCTGCATGAATATGATCATAATTTACCTTACCCCATACTCTGGCAATACAGGTACAGATCCAAATTGTTCGATAACGTTTGAAAATTAAAAATATTAACAAGTAACTTAAAAAGGACAAAGACAGTGGGAAAACGAGCGTTACGCCGACAACGGGACATAATTCTTAGAAATGTAAAAAAAATCGTCTATTTATATTAATTATGCAATGACAAACTATTAGTCTATTACGCTTCCTTCTACTAAGTAAATCTAAAAAAAAAAAATCTTCTCAATCTTTTTTAACACTAGTAAAATGTAGCAGTGCCTAAATGGACTTGTTTTTCTCCATGTGACTTTCTCCGAAGGAGACTTCAACTGCGCAATACGATCGCTGTGCCTAAACACTGCATATATGCTGCATGAACAAATATACGCAAGGTAGTAATTATTCAGCTAAATCCTTTACTCTTCAAACCTTACAGAATGAAAACAACAATCAGCAATGAACACTTTTGTTTCAGATCAAAATTCGGTTACTTCTTCACCGTCCACATCAAAAATGGCTGAAGGAGTGAGCCTCGTTTTCATTTATTATGTACACCGCGCCCGATCGAAAAAAAAAATAAACAAAGGTAAACCTAATCCGTTATCATTTCGTACGGGCACAAACTAGACAAAATTGAATGCGCACTAAATAAGGTTGCTTGCATATTAATGTAACTAATCATGGCTCTGTTGCTTATGAGATCTAGAGAAGAAGATTTTTAAATTTTAAAGGTTTTCTGATGTATTCTTATTTAAAATTTACTCATCCATTACGGACCAACCCTTACCCCAGGGGTCATGATTTGAACAAACTTGAATCTACACCACCTGAGGATACTTCACTATGAGTCTAATCTTTCCTGGCCCAGTGGTTCTTGAGAAGAAGATTTTTAAAATACATCATTACTTTTTCACAAATTCCTAATTATCTCCCTTTGAAAGGGAGCATGACCCCTCATTTGAACAAACCTGAATCCCCTTCACCTAAGGATGCTTTATTGCAAGTTTGGTTGAAATTGGCCCAGTGGTTCTTGAGAAGAAGATGAAAATGTGAAAAGTTTACGACGACGACGACAACAACAACGACAACAACGACAACAACGACGACGACGACAGACAACGGACAGATTGTGATCAGAAAAGCTCACTTGAGCCTTTGGCTCAGGTGAGCTAAAAACTCTACAGAGTCAATTTCCTCTCAAAATGCACGTCAGTGCATTGTACATTCAGTATTTCAAAGCCAAAGACCATCGTTTACACAGCTAGATTTTACGGAGTAAATTTCCTCCCAAAGAGAATCCCTGATATAGTGTTCACAACTACATTACAATATGAAAATAGCAAAAATCTAGAGGGTAAATTTCCTCTCAAAATGACATTCATACAGTAAACATACAGTAGTCAATTCAAAAGCAAATAGTCTTTATATAACAAAACTTCACGGGGTAAATTTCCTCCCAAAGAATTTCACTGATACAGTGTTCACTACTAACATTACAGTTTGGTAAAAAAAATCTACAGAGTAAATTTTCTCTCTAAATTCACATTGGTGCAATGTACATTCATTGAAAGCCAAGGCAACCATAGTTTACATAGCTTGTAGATTTTACGGAGTAAATTTCCTCCCAAAGAATATCACTCATACAGTGTTTACTACTACAATTAAAATTTGAAATTAGCAAAAGAGTAAGTGTCCGATCAAAAATGACATTGATACAGTGTATA